AAACTCTACGCAAATATCCCACGGATTCGCGGCTCGAGCGGCGGGCCTCGGATGACACGGTGTTGAGCGCCGGTCGTCGGCCTGACATTCATGTCGCGAAGGGTGTGGTTATAAAGATACCGACTTACGCCATACATCACTCGCCGGACAACTATCCCGACCCGTTTGCCTTCAAACCGGACCGCTTTTTGCCCCAAAACCGTCATCACATCAAACCCTATACGTACCTACCGTTCGGCGCCGGACCCCGTAGTTGTATTGGTATGCGCTTTGCGTTGCTCGAGGTGAAACTGGGCATGGTCAAAATGTTGCAACAGTTTCGTTTCTATCGCGTGCCCGACACCGATGTGCCCCTCGTTTTGCTGAGGGGTTACGACCGGTTGTACGCCAAGAGACTTGTGGTGGGCGTCACTAAACGCTAACAACAAATACTTTTAATTGTTTTACATAGTATTTAGTAGTAGATAGATAGTATATAGTATTAATTTAGTTTTTGTAGCTTAATATCTCAAACTTAAAATATGTAGTGAAAACGTTTATTTTATAAAAACATTTAATTAAATATTGTTCCTTTAAATATTATACAGAGTATTTTTTCAAACTATATTTAACATATTTAACAATAACTAATTCAAAATATACAGTTAATTATTATTACAATTCGAATAGTGCATATTTAATTTACAAAATTAGTTTTATAATTTGAATTTACATTCTTAGGAATCGAAAATCAAACTTGAATTATTAGTCTATGATCCAGAAGTTTTCAATTGTTATTATAAGAAAATATTTTTTTAAAATTTTACAATCATGCTGAATATTGCGATTTTATTGTTTTATATTAGATTTGATTTTACATTTACTAGTTTATTTACTTGATCAAAATGTTAGAGTTGCTTTGGGTTGGCCATAATTAAATTAATAAGAATATCAGAGAAATATTATTGTAATTATTAGAAAATAATTACAGTTTTTATTATAAGTCTTAAAATAAATTCAAAACTAAAATGATACACAAAGTATAAATATATTGATTTTCTTAATACAAAATTTAGCTAATGTTTGATTTTATAAGAATTTTCAAAATTAAAAATTTATTATATAACTATATGCACATGACAAAGTAGACAAAGTTTAAACGTTTATAATTCCATTTTAGTATAAATTAAATTAACAAATAGTATACCATTTTAAAACCTAGTTATCATTAAGTTTAGTCATATAAACATCACTTCATTTGATTTAGTAATTTAGAAATTATCATCATAAAACCAAAACAACTGCACGAGAAACTTTTGACACAATGGCATTTCACATTATAACTTAATGCTTGTGTGTATAGCGCTTGTTATTTTGCCACTCAATGTTACACAGTTTTGTAGCAAACGCTATGGCTGTTGACAAATAATGTTGTCAAAAGCATTTGATAGCTGGCTAACAAATGTCTTCGGATTGCCGGGCAATCGGATCCAATGGCTATCGTTCATTGATATCAATTCAACCCTTATATAATGTACTTCAATTGATTAAAATTTCATACATTTCTGTTAATTAGTATTAAAATTATAATTAAAAACGTTTTGTCTACTTAATGGTGTGCATATAGTTATTGTTAAACATTATCTTATAAAATTAATATTTTGTTCAAAATATTTCAACAAATAAATATACTGAGAATATTCTGCTTGTTCAAATAATTCTTTCATGTCTGTGGCTATTGCAACAAAATCAACGTTTAAATGAAACTCGTTGATGCAATCGACCAATTCCTTCGTGGTGGGTCGTGTGCAATATTTACCATTTAACATGGTTTGAATTTTGTTCTTTAATAATTGAACTTGTTCATGGCCAACAATCTGGTATTCAATGTCACTTGATTAAATAAATTTACAAATATAAATTACATTTAAACAAATAATTTAATTAATAATAATATAATCACAATAATTAGTAAGATGCTAATTATAAAATACATACGTGTTAATGTTGAACAATTTAGCCATAATCTGACCAAGACTAAACACGTCGGACGCTGGCGTATATTTTCCACCATGATTTTCACCGGCCATGTAATTGGGCGAACCAATGCCCTTAATGGTGTACGTATGCGACCATTCGAGCATTTCAATGGACAGACCAAAATCGGCCAAACGACAAAATGTACCATGCGCCAAATTTGTATCGCATAATATATTTGACGGTTTTAGATCCAGGTGAAGCACGTTGGCCTGATGGGCTAGATAGTTGAGCGCGTTAATGAGCTCGATGGACATTAACAAGGATATTGTGTAATCAAATATTTTATAGTTGTCATTGTTTGGGTGTTGTTGAAGTAATTTGTTTTTGATCTCGATCACTTTCTTCAAATCTAAATCGCAATAGTCCATCTTAATAGCTATGTAATCGTTGTCGATTGGCCAATTCTGATGGTACGTAACGATGCCGTTGTGGTGTACTTTGGACAATATTTTGCACTCGTTAAATTGTTCTACATTAAGTTTATAAAATTAAAAGTTATAATCATTTTTATCATGTTTTTACATAGATTAAAAAATCAAATAGAGAACATATTTACCATTAAAACGAGTAATTTTGATAGCCCATAAATGGTCATCAATCTTGTCCCTAACTTTAATTAAAGTACCATATGCGCCTTTGCCAATTTTATCCAATAATTCAAACTGACCATGGGTTAGTTGTAAAAATTTGTCAATTATGATATCAATATTATTTGATATTGCTGAATCAACTTGGTCAATTTCGTGAACGGGTAACATTGGAATAATGACATCATTATTACCAGTTACCACACGACCTGGGTTGGTTTTTAATTTACTGTATATTACATATACACTAAGCGCTATAAATGCCACACTTATTACGCCAATTAATATATATAACATAAAATGATAATTATTATTATTATTATCACCATCATCATGCTCGCGTTCGGTAAGTTTGGATATGTTGACCAGATAATTATAATCACCGGTTATTGGGGTTACATTATATACATTATCACGTTCTGTAATTATGTTTTGAGTTTCTGCAGGTGTACCATTATAACCATCATGATCATTGTATGGCGTTGTATTAATTAATGGCTTATCAGTAGGTATAGTAGTAGCATGTGTAACAATGGTTGATGATGGTAATATTGTTGCGTTAGTAACCTCTATTGGATAGCATACAGGGGCATTTTCTATGTATGCTCTGCATTCTACATATTGTTTGCCAATGGCTGCCAGACGTATATCACTTTTTAATTGTTTAATGTCCGATTCATCGCAGCGTTTCTGTTTAATACATAATCATAGTTGTTCAATTAATTAATAAATTGTGATTAAAAACATTTAAATTCATATATTTATAATATGTGTTCTATTTATTTAATATCTCCATTTTATTTTCAATGATAAAACTAATGATTAATATGTAATGAATAGAATAACTATTAAAATAGATAACAATTGAATATAACCAAGACTGTTGCATTTAATATACGACCCCCCATTTATAATGTATAATTCCTATACGGTTTACACAATTGTGTAAATTTAAACGGTGATGAATATAACAAATATATCTAACACCTATAGTAAAGTTGTAAGATTTATAAAACGTTTCTATTGAAAATTTAACTTGCGCATGACGCTGTTGCATTTTTGTACACATGACCTGATATTATTATGTATAATTATGCATGTGTAACAATGTGTAAAACTATTTTATACGTATACTAAACGTATTATTACATGAATTTTATATATAATTAAATTAATTTAATATAAATACAATATAAATAAAACAAACATTTTTAATAACTCACAACACATTTCATTTGGCAATCATTATAAATCCAAACTGGACAGCATCTTGATATTTCAACTTCACCAGCAAATATTATGTCATTATTTATTGTAGCACATCGATTTAGACAATGCTTTGTGCGAATCGCACATTTGGGGCTCAATTTACACACCATGGTATTTGTGAATAATATTACCAAAATGAATAATGTCATACATAGACGCATGATTGCCGAAATATATTACAATTAGTTTAAATAAGTAATTAATTTGTCTTACACTAACTAATAGAAATAATTATCATATAGATTAATTAATTTTAATTATTATTATAACAAGTAAAATTAAAGTTAATACACTTAAATTAATTGGTCATATATCAAGACTCCATTAGTAATTTCATGAGTTTGATAAATAGACTTAGCAAAGCGAGCAACTTAACAGAATATTATCTAACCTGTAGAAAACATCTTTATTTGATAAATAAATTACTTTTTTATGTAGAAATATGTGTTATCTTATAATTCAGGTAAATGAGTAGGCGCAATTTCATCATCAATATAGATAAATATAGAATTTAAATATAACTATTGATATTAATTTGATTTTGATTTTTAATAAATATTAATTTATAAACTTAATTTTATTTTTATTCGGCAACGACTAAAGGGTCCGGGCCCGGAAAACATTTTTTCTATGTACGGCAATACCAATATTTTGACGGTCGATCGGTCAACCCAAATGCCGATCAAAGTGGGCCCGGATGACACGGGCCCACCACTTTTCCGTCATTTATCACATTTTTACGGAAATTTTTTTAATGTATTTTACTGTACATTACACCTCACTTAACTCATTTAAATTAATTTTTCATTAAATTAATTAATTTTTAACTAATTTTTTTAATAA